GAAGGGGGGAGGTCCAGTCGACGGCCCGCCAAACCGCTCCCTCCCGGGGGCGGTGGGCCGCCGCCCCGGAGCTTGAAGGGGGGCCTCCCTTTGGACACCAGCTTCCTCGATACAGAGCAAACCACGTCCGGTGTGCCGTACCGAACCGTCTGCATACGACTGACATATCGGCTGGGGTGTTGTACCGGTTAGAGCAGGCTCCTCTTTTCCTGCGATTAAGTGAGACTCGTCCCCTACGGTCGGATGGTTTTGTTGGCCTGTCCAACTGCAACTCGTCCTCCTCCTCCTCCTCCTCCTCCTCCTCCGGGAGCTCCCGGTTGGGGATGCTCGCTCGTCCTCGTCCTCCACCTGCGAGGAAAACGGACGGAGCGAACAACCCCTCCCCTGAAACTGAGGAGGAAGGGCGGACAGACGCAGCAGCAGCAGCAACAACAAGAAGTGTATGTGCATGTGTGCGTGAAAAGTGTGCGAGTGTTTTTTTTTTTTGGGTGTTGTGTGTGGAGGGGAGCCGCAATTTCGCCCTCTTTTTTTCTGTTCCTGCCCCCCCCCCCCCCCCCCCCCGTGTTTTTGCAGATCTTGTCACCAAGTCCTCTGCTGGGCTTTACCCCCCCCCCCCCCCCCTCCGCCTTCTCTCCGCGGGTCGGAGATAGATAGGTCAATTGCGGTAAATTTATTTATTCCCCCCCCCCCCCCCTGTCTTTATTTATTTAATTTTTTTTTTTTTTTTTCATGATTATTTTCCTTACCCCCTTCTTCCTCTTCCCTTTCTCCAATGTTCCTTACTTCCACCGCCATCATTCTGATTATTACTACAACAACAACAACTACTACTACTACTACTACTACTACTACTACTACTACTACTACTACTACTTCTTCTTCTTCTTAATAATTATTATTATTATTATTATTATTATTATTATTATTATTATTATTATTATTATTATTATTATTATTATTATTATTATTATTATTATTAATTATTATTATTATGATTGATGATAATGATAATGATGATGATGATTATCATTCTTATTCTTATTATCAATGATTATTCTTCATTATTCTTATTCTGAAATTCTTCTCAATTATTACTTTCCTTTTTATCTTTTCCTTCAATCGGTTTGTTTCTTGCCATGTGAGAGTGAGTGCGTGAAGAAAGGCAGGAGGAAATGATTGATGATGATGATGATGATGATGATGATGATGATGATGATGATGATGATGATGATGATGATGATGATGATGATGATGACGATGATGATGACGATGAAGATGATGAAGATGACGATGACGATGACGATGACGATGACGATGACGATGACGATGACGAAGAAGACAAGGTCGAAGCTCAAAGTAGAAGAGGGAAAAAGTTGGTGATGGACGGGGCAGTGTCCATGAGCTCCGTACGGTTTCCAGGGCATTTTGCCGGGCCTCCGGGGGGGGGGGGGGGGGAACTGCGTATGAGCACCGTACGGTTTCCAGGGCATTTTGCGGGGCCTGCGGGCGGGGGATTTACGAGAATTTCCCCTGCCAACGGGGTCTGGCCCCGAAGCCGGTACACCGGTTGCCGGCGTCGCTAGCCCAGGGGAGAATAGCAGACGGAAGGCTCGGCGCCTGGGTTGCCTTCGGGAGGAACCGGCACCTCGGCTCCGAGCGCCCGTGGCCGAGGGGAAAGGGGCGGCGGTTGGGGGGGGGGGTAGGGGTGGTTGGTGGGTGGGGGGGTAGGGGTGGTTGGTGGGGGGGTGGGGGGTGGGGGTAGGGGTGGTTGGTGGGGGGGGGGGGGGTTGGGGAGGGGTAGGGGTGAGGGGGTGGGGGTGACCCTCCCCCTTCCGGTCCCACTTCCTCTGAGCCCTCCACCCGGTGGGACAGGAGCAGCGGGAGGACCTGTTCCCGGTCGTGGTGGGTGAACGGCCGCGCCGCTAACCCTATACTGGGGGCGCGGCTGGTCCGGGCCAGCGGCTGAGAGAGAGCGAGACGCGCGGGGCGAGGCGGCGGCCCCATGGCGGTCGCGGCCGGGCGGCCTGGGCGCCGCCTTCCCCCGGCCGTGACGGTCGGTTGGCGGCAGGGGTTCGAGCTGGCTGTGGCCGCAGTTGGTCTGCGGAAGCAGGCAGGGCGCCGCAGCCGCCTTCCCCCGGGCGTGGCGGTGGGTTGGCGGCAGGGGATCGAGCTGGCTGTGGCCGCAGTTGGTCTGTGGAGGCAGGCAGGGCACCGCCGCCGCCGCCGCCTTCCCCGGGCGTGGCGGTGGGTTAGCGGTAAGGGGGCGAGCTGGCTGTGGCCGCAGTTTGTGTGCGGAGGCAGGCAGGCAGGCAGGCAGGCAGGCAGGCAGGCCGGCAGGCAGGCCGTCCGTGGTTTGCCGGGGCCAGCAGCGAGGGGATGATGGCCCATCGGCGGCCGAGGGGACTGTACGGACGGACGACGGACGGCAGGCAGGCAGGCAGGCCGTGTGCGGACGGTCGCTTGCCGCCGTTGCCGTTGGCCTTGCGAGCGGGCAAGGCCCCTTTTTCGACCACCCGCGCACGCTGGCCCTCGCCTCTTGGCCTCTTGGTCCGGCCGTGCAGCACGTTCCCTGCCTCCGAGCAGCTTCGCCCTGCTGTGTTGCGGGCCGCAGCCGGGCTGCGCGCTCCCGGGCCTCCCGGGCGTCCGGGAGCGCGGGCAAGGCCTGGGTCCCTTGGGCCGTGGCCGTGGCCGTGGCCGTGGGCGGGAGAAGCGGCGAGCGAGGGCGTCCCCGGAGCCCCGGGTCTGTCGGGCGGGCCCCGCTGCCGCTGGTGCCGGCTCCCTCCCCTTCCCGGCAAGGCTGGTTCCGGGGCAGCCTTGTGGTGGCGGCGGCGGCGGCGGGGCCGGGGCTGTGGCTGGTGTGTGCGGGCGCGGCGGAAAGGGGCGTTGGCGGTCGGGGGAGGACGCCTTGGTGGCGGAGCGAGGCCTGGGTCCCTTGGGCCGTGTCCGTGGGCGGGAGAAGCGGCGAGCGAGGGGCGTTCCCGGAGCCTCGGGTCTGTCGGGCGGGCCCCGCTGCTGTGGCTGGTGTGTGCGGGCGCGGCGGAAAGGGGCGTTGGCGGTCGGGGGAGGACGCCTTGGTGGCGGAGCGAGGCCTGGGTCCCTTGGGCCGTGTCCGTGGGCGGGAGAAGCGGCGAGCGAGGGGCGTTCCCGGAGCCTCGGGTCTGTCGGGCGGGCCCCGCTGCTGTGGCTGGTGTGTGCGGGCGCGGCGGAAAGGGGCGTTGGCGGTCGGGGGAGGACGCCTTGGTGGCGGAGCGAGGCCTGGGTCCCTTGGGCCGTGTCCGTGGGCGGGAGAAGCGGCGAGCGAGGGGCGTTCCCGGAGCCTCGGGTCTGTCGGGCGGGCCCCGCTGCTGTGGCTGGTGTGTGCGGGCGCGGCGGAAAGGGGCGTTGGCGGTCGGGGGAGGACGCCTTGGTGGCGGAGCGAGGCCTGGGTCCCTTGGGCCGTGTCCGTGGGCGGGAGAAGCGGCGAGCGAGGGGCGTTCCCGGAGCCTCGGGTCTGTCGGGCGGGCCCCGCTGCTGTGGCTGGTGTGTGCGGGCGCGGCGGAAAGGGGCGTTGGCGGTCGGGGGAGGACGCCTTGGTGGCGGAGCGAGGCCTGGGTCCCTTGGGCCGTGTCCGTGGGCGGGAGAAGCGGCGAGCGAGGGGCGTTCCCGGAGCCTCGGGTCTGTCGGGCGGGCCCCGCTGCTGTGGCTGGTGTGTGCGGGCGCGGCGGAAAGGGGCGTTGGCGGTCGGGGGAGGACGCCTTGGTGGCGGAGCGAGGCCTGGGTCCCTTGGGCCGTGTCCGTGGGCGGGAGAAGCGGCGAGCGAGGGGCGTTCCCGGAGCCTCGGGTCTGTCGGGCGGGCCCCGCTGCTGTGGCTGGTGTGTGCGGGCGCGGCGGAAAGGGGCGTTGGCGGTCGGGGGAGGACGCCTTGGTGGCGGAGCGAGGCCTGGGTCCCTTGGGCCGTGTCCGTGGGCGGGAGAAGCGGCGAGCGAGGGGCGTTCCCGGAGCCTCGGGTCTGTCGGGCGGGCCCCGCTGCTGTGGCTGGTGTGTGCGGGCGCGGCGGAAAGGGGCGTTGGCGGTCGGGGGAGGACGCCTTGGTGGCGGAGCGAGGCCTGGGTCCCTTGGGCCGTGTCCGTGGGCGGGAGAAGCGGCGAGCGAGGGGCGTTCCCGGAGCCTCGGGTCTGTCGGGGGCTGCGAGGGGGCGTGCGCCTTGACGGGCGGGCGAGAGGGCGGCCTGTTTGGGGTGGTGGGGGCGGAACGGCCGCGGCGACAAGTGTATGGGGACGAAGGGGGTTCGCTGGCGTTGGCTGGCTGGCTGGCGGGCGGGCGGGCGGCGCCGGGGCCGGCGAGCGAGGCCTCGGTGGGCGGGCTCCCTCGCGGCCGCGGACGGGTATCCCGAGCGTGGTCGGCTCCCCGCCGTCCCCGGGCGGGGTTGGTTGTCGTCCAGGCAGGCAGGCCCTGGTCGGGCCCTCCTTCCTCCCTCCGCCGCCTCCTGAGAGGGCTCTGAGGCCGAGGCAGCGAGGCTCGGGGAGGTCCCCAGAGCGAAGCCGCGGTGCGGCGAGGGCGTGGGTCCCCCTGGAGGGGGTGTCCTCCCTGACGAGCGGGCGGGGGCGGCCCCTGTTCGCGGTGGTGTTGGGCGAACGGGCGTTTTGGCAGCTGTAAGGAGGCACGCGTCCCTGCGCGTCTCCGGTCCCTCATCCCCTTCCCCAATGGCCTCCCTCCCCCGCCGCCCTGTTGCCGAGGCCCTTTGTGGTGGTGTTGTTGGTGCTGGGCGCGTGGAAGAGGTTG